AATGCAGCTGGAAATACGAGGGGGTGAGGTGTCCTGGGAGATCTGCTATTTGGGTCATGGGCATCCTGCAAGGCTGAGGAGGCTCTGAGGAGAGCAGATCCTCTCCTGGTGAGATCTTTGTGTGGCCTCAGCCCTCCTCGATCTGGCTCTGGGGGAGGGCAAGGAGGTCTCACTTACCAATACAAAGACTTTCTAGCCTCATGGTATAACCTGTTTATAATTCTTTTTATTCTGCTATTTAGAACCCATCTAAGTTTAATCTCTCATGGTTACATGTCTTTTCCTCTCTATTATGTGTTATTTCCATGTGAAATAGAATCATCGCTAGTCCTTGCCATGTGTTTCAATACTTGGTTAAGGAGGGGTAAGAAAACGGGTGAAGGTGAAATGCCACCAGCTGCAGGGAAATTGCAAATGCAAAAGGCAAAACAACCCACCTTGGAGAGAGGAATGCAGGTCCGTGCGGAGAACATCAGTTGTGTCCATGGTGGTTCCTCCATGGCCATCTCCAGCTGTAGCAGAGCCTTCAGCAGTGCCACTGAGGTGTCAGTGGGCTGGAGCTGGTCATGGTCATGTGGGTTTCTCCCAGAGTGAGTGGACTTGGCTTTCACAGGACCCTGCAGAGCAATGCCATAAGTAATAACCCTGCAACACTAAGCTTTGATGCAAAGAACCTGCAAGAATAAATAGGAAGCTGTTGTGATCTTGTCTCACTTTATTCCTGTGTTCCATACCACAGACAGTAACTCATCTTTGTCTCTCTTTCCAGGAGGTTTATTTCTCTTGCTGGTATTTCTCTTTGTGATGTGGAAGGAGTTTGCTGCTGACTTTCAGAAGTACATCCTTCTGGAGAGGAGTGAGAAGTGCATGGAGGATGTCCCTGTGCATGTGTACTATGGCTGGTCGTTCATGTTTGCTGCAGCAGGAGTGCCCCTGGTTCTGCTTTCTGGACTCCTCTTCTTCCTGGTTGGCAGAGACATTCTGAAGTCCTTGGAGTAAGATGAATTTGGAGAAGGCCTTTGAGAAAATTGGTGATGCTCCTTGGAAAGAAATATCCACAAGTTTTGAGGACTAGATCATTTTATAGCTCCAATTGTCAGGCTAGATTTCACTCACTCTTCTGTGGAGGGAGGGATGGAAAACTAAGCATCCAGAGAAGCACAGGAAGGGTTGAGGTGGAAGGAATTCAGTTTCAACCTCCCTGCCTTGGGCAGAGACACCTCCCACCAGCCCAGATTGCTCCAAGCCCCATCCAACCAGGCCTGGAACACTCCCAGGGATGGAGCAGCCACAGCTGCTCTGGGCAATCTGTGCCAGTGTCTCAGCACCTCACAGGGAAGAATTTCTTCCCAATATCCCAACTAACCCTGCCCTTGGACAGTTTGAAGCCATTTCCCTTGTCCTATACCTCGATCCCTTGTCCCAGGTCCATCTGCAGCTCTCTTGGAGCCCCTTTAGGCACTGGGGAACATCCAGATTTTCCTCTTTGGAGAGATTTGGGCAAATGTCTGAGTTTTGCATCAGTTTTCTCTGGAGCCCAAGGCAAAGCAGCTCCCCTGGCCCCGTGGTCTGTCAGCAGAGCCTCTCATCCATATTCAGCAGAGCTGGACTTTAGGGCATTCCCAGCATCCTTGTTTCTTGTAAAAGGCAATCGAATCTGGCTGTGCCTTGTACACTGTAATGGCTATTTCTGAAAAGCAATTAAGGAGGATTTTTCCTCCTCAGCTGCCTCTAATTGACGTCAAAGGACACCCCTTTTAATGGCATGTCGGGAAACAGGACAAACTCTTTGCCTTAAAAGCTCTGATTTGGAAGAGAAAATGTACCTGGACCTAACCTAACTTGCAGTAAGGGAATAAAACCAATTTCTGTGGCATGAAACTTAGCATGAATTAATTAGTATTTCTTTACAGCAATACATTGCTTTGCATTTAATATTTTCCCAGGATGCAACATTGAGGGGATTCTCAACCCAAAAACTGAAGGATAGAGCTGAGGGAAGGGGAACAAGAGCTTGATAGCATGATCTCTCCTTGGGTTATGCCTGTGCCCCATCAGTTCTTCAAGTGGTAATTTCTCACTATAAATTCCCTTTGAATCATTTCTGTCATTGCACTGAACTGAGTATTTTTCCCTGGAATAAGAGTTTTGGGGATTCTCAATCCCAAAACTAAAAGATGATCAGAGCTGGGGGAATGGGAGTGGGAACAAGAGCATGATCTCTCCTTGGGTTATGCCTGTGCCCAATCAGTTCTTCAAGGGATAATTTCCTCACTATAAATTTCCTTTGAATCAATTGTTATCATTACTCTGCATTGAATATTTTCCCTGGACACTGTTTTGGGGTTTCTCTGCCCAAAACTGAATGATGATCAGAGCTGGGGGAAAGGGGAGAGGGACAATAGCATATCATACCCCTTAACAATCCATGATTCTATGACCCTAATACACCAAAATATCCAGGTCCAGGAGGTGAAATAAGTGATGCTGAATATGCAGAGGTTTGTAGAGACACTTGAGAAATGACAAAGATTTGATCTTGTCATGTTTTTTTCCAGGCTGGATCGTGATGCTTTGAAGTACTTAGTTGGGTCTTTGCTTGCTGAACTCATTTGCATAAATTTCAAATCAAACTTCCTCCAAATGTGTTCCTCTGAATGTCATAGTTTGTGCTAAACATACATCTCCTGAGCTTTGTGTCATCCTATTGACTCAGTGCAGTTAATTAATAATGCAATGTAAATCTCTTCTAGAAAGCAAAGCTTCTTGGCAGTATCAAACTGTTTGTTAATGCTCTGCCTAAAATATTCTTCAACTCTGGTGATTCCTTCATTTTGGAGCAAGTTCTAATTATTCTTTTACAAGATTCATGGCACACATCGAGTGAGAAATTGTAATTCCCACATGGAAAGATTAATTCTTTCCTATGAAGAACAGGCTGGGGCTGCACTTCTTCAGCAATATCCACACTGCTTTCCCTTAATAGCAGTTTGGTTGGAATAGAATTGGGATAACAGGTAAAAATCTTGAGTTTTTTCCTAATGAATAGATGTTTAATTACATTTACAAATACACAGGTCATTCAGTGTTTTATTTTGGCTGTTCTAAACTGGTTTTTTTCCCTGTGATATCTCCTTGGGTTATGCCTGTGCTTCATCACTTCTTCAGGGGATAATTTCCTCACTATAAATCCCTTTGGATCAGTTTTTGTCATTACTCTGCATTGGATATTTTCTCTGGACATTGTTTTGGGGTTTCTCAACCCAAAAACTGAAGGATGGTCAGAGTTGAGGGGAGAGGGAATAAGAGCATCATATCATGATCTCTCCTTGGGTTATTCCTGTGCCTCATCAGTTCTTCAAGGGATAATTTCCTCACTATAAATTCCCTTTGAATCATTTTTTGTTATTCAGATTTAAATATTTTCCCTGGCCACTGTGTTTTATTTGGCTGTTCTATACTGGTTTTTGAGTTGCTTTTTTTTCCCCCATGATATCTCCTTGGGTTAAACCTGTTCTGTTAAATCAGTTCTTCAAGGGCTAATTTCTCCCTGTAAATTCTCTTTGAATAATTTTTGTCATTTAATTATCCATTCAATGTGGAGATGAACACTTATGGGCACCAAGAATAAAAGTATATAATTCAGGAGCAGAAAGGGTCAGGATTTACAGTCACTTGCCTTTCCCTGATCCCATAAAACAATCCAAGCATGCAGAAATGATGATCCCAGAAGAGACACCAGGGCAGAAGAATGAGAATGCAGCAAGAAATCCATCAGACTTATTGATATCTGTGAAGCTGAGGATCCCTCAAGTTGTGAATAGAGAAGTGAGTTTTATATTATAGAATGAAATATTTATTAACTTTCTCCATCTGTTCTTTAAAAAATTGAGTTGAATGTCATCAAGGCATTTATGGAATACATTTAGCTTCATCATGCATTCAGGCCTTAGGGAGTCAGCCAGCCCTGGAGACCTGATCCTTCTGGATCAGCTCTAGAACAAGCCAGAGGTTAAAATTCCATCATTCTTTGGACAAACACATGGATTTGAATCATTCTTTGAACAAGAGATTTGAATCAGTCTGGAACAGAAAGGTGTGTTTTTAAATGTCTTTGGTATGCAGCAAACTCTCTCCAACCCTCATCTGGGGAACCTCATCAAAGGACACTGAGGCACTGGCGTGAGTCCAGTCAATGTCAATGAGGTAAGAAAAGGTCTGGTCTGCAGGTCATTGGGAACCTCCCCATGAGTTTTGAGTTATCCAGATGCTGAGGTGATGGCACTGGAAGCAGGAGCAGGTACCACAGCTTCCAGCATTCACTGCTGGGACATCTCTGGATGGGGCACTGTGGCTGCTCCAAGGAGCTGAGTGATCATAGAATCATAGAATTTTAGGGGTTGGAATGGAACTTAGAGATGATCCAGCGCCAACCCCTGCCCTGGGCAGGGACACCTCCCACCAGAGCAGGTTGCTCAAGGCTCAGCCAACCTGGCTGTGAACACTGCCAGGGTTGGGGCAGCCACAGCCTCCCCGGGCAACCTGGGACAGTGTCTCACCACCCTCACAGGCAAAACTTCTGCCTAAGATCTAACCTCAATTTCCCTCCTTCAGTTTGTGCCCATTGCCCCTTGTCCTGTCCCTGCAGCTCCTAAGACAAGGCTAAGAGAGAATGAGAGTTGCATAACTGAAACAATTAGCTTCTCTATTAAAATCAACATTTGTACCCATCACAAGGGCTAACCAAAAGCATCATTTTGGTGGACTAAAGAGTCCAGTTCATTTGCTCTCAAGTATAACTCAAGCAGACAAAATTTAGCATGAGAATTATAATTTCTGGCAGAGAAATCTCCAAACTCCAAGCTAATGGGCTCAGTGGTAGAGCTGGAAATTGCAGCAACTCTGATCACTTTCATCTGTTGAATATGAAGAAGTTTGATGAAAGGATATTATAGAGTAGTGACAAGGACCTAATTCTGATCCAAGTTTTGTCATTATAAATCACAAGTAATTCCAAAGACTTCAGCAGACCCTTCTCACTGCTAAACATCTGTAAGGCAGATCAGAACCAGGACTAATAAATACATTCAAAGCTGCATAATTAAAACAGTGATTTCACATCACTCTGATGAATTTTAGTCAAGGATTTCTTCAAGGATGCTTTTCTCACATTAGCATTTGATGTTAGTAAGCAATGAATAATTCCATTTTTTCTTTTCAACATCTGGGACACTTCCTGCTTTATTTGCTACTTACTGAACACTCTGCAGGAAATATTAATGAATCTTGGGTGTTGAAATCCAGGCTCTGTGCAGCCTGTTCAGGAGGCAGCACTGTGCAGGAGAGGAGATGTGGCTTGAGATTAAGAAGTTTGGTTTTGGTTAACTTAGATATTAGGAGAATTTGCCAAACCTGAGGGAGATCCAGGGATTTGAAGTTATCCAAAAGGCCCTGTAGCTCCTTCCCTCATACAGAATCCCAGAATGAGTTAGGTTGGAAGGGATCACAAAGGGTCACCTGGTCCCACCTCCCTGCTCAGGCAGGGCCAGCCCAGAGCTCATGGCTCAGGTTGTGTCCAGAGGGTTCTGGAACATCTCCAGTGAGGGAGAATCCATGACCTCTCTGGGCAATCTGTTCAGTGCTCAGGGACTGCACAGCAAAGAAGTTCTTCCTCGTGTTCAGGTGGAACTTCCTGGACCTGCTGCAGGAGCTCCATGTCCCTCTGGCCCTGAGGAGATCAGAACTGGACACAACACTCCAGGTGTGACCTCTCCTGGGCTGAGCAGAGGGACAGGATCACCTCCCCATTGCCCCTTGTCCTGTCCCTGCAGCTCCTAACACAGATCCCTCTGCAGCTTCCCTGGAGCCCCTTCAGCTCCTGGAAGTTGCTCTGAGGTCTCCACACAACCTTCTCTTCTCCAGGCTCAACAGCCCCAACTCCCTCAGCCTGTCCTCACAGGGGAGATGCTTCAACCCTCTGAGCAACTTCATGTTCTCCT